AGGCGTCTCATTTTGAGGCGCCTCAAGGGCAGCGTACCCACCATCCTTTTCACCCTCTCTCAGCTGCAAGCCCTGTGAGTGATTGGGTGGGCCGTGGCGTGGTGGATTACTGAGGCGTCTCTTTTTGAGGCGCCTCAAGGGCAGCGTACCCACCTTCCTTTTCACCCTCTCTCAGCTGCAAGCCCTGTGAGTGATTGGGTGGGCTGTGGCGTGGTGGATTACTGAGGCGTCTCTTTTTGAGGTGCCTCAATGGCAGCGTACCCACCATCCTTTTCACCCTATCTCAGCTGCAAGCCCTGTGAGTGATTGGGTGGGCCGTGGCGTGGTGGATTACTGTGGCGTCTCTTTTTGAGGCGCCTCAAGGGCAGCGTACCCACCATCCTTTTCACCCTCTCTCAGCTGCAAGCCCTGTGAGTGATTGGGTGGGCCGTGGCATGGTGGATTACTGAGGCGTCTCTTTTTGAGGCGCCTCAAGGGCAGCGTACCCACCATCCTTTTCACCCTCTCTCAGCTGCAAGCCCTGTGAGTGATTGGGTGGGCCGTGGCGTGGTGGATTACTGAGGCGTCTCTTTTGAGGCGCCTCAAGGGCAGCGTACCCACCATCCTTTTCACCCTCTCTCAGCTGCAAGCCCTGTGAGTGATTGCGAGGGCCGTGGCGTGGTGGATTACTGAGGCGTCTCTTTTTTAGGCGCCTCAAGGGCAGCGTACCCACCATCCTTTTCACCCTCTCTCAGCTGCAAGCCCTGTGAGTGATTGGGTGGGCCGTGGCGTGGTGGATTACTGAGGCGTCTCTTTTTGAGGCGCCTCAAGGGCAGCGTACCCACCATCCTTTTCACCCTCTCTCAGCTGCAAGCCCTGTGAGTGATTGGGTGGGCCGTGGCGTGGTGGATTACTGAGGCGTCTCTTTTTGAGGCGCCTCAAGGGCAGCGTACCCACCACCCTTTTCACCCTCTCTCAGCTGCAAGCCCTGTGAGTGGCTGGCCTCTACTCTCTACCCGCCACAATGACCCCGTTGATTTGACAGAATCTCGCTCAGGAACTTTTGCCATACGTGGCAGCATACCCACCCCACCACCATTGGCACTCTCCCTGAGAGGAAGGGCTCTCTCTCTCCCTCACTCTCCAACGGTCCTGTGAGTGGCTGGACTGTCGAGCACTGAGGTGAGGCGCCTCAAAACACGTTGCCACCCTCCTTGGGCTGGGCTTGGGCCTTCTCTGAGGCCCTACTAGCCACCACCGCTGTGACCGCGTTTTCAGTTGACTGAAGCTGTGCTTTTTTGTGACTGCCAACAGAGTTCACTGACTGCCATGCCATCTGGGCTCACTCACTGCCATCTGGGCTCACTCACTGCCATTTGGGCTCACTCACTGCCATCTGGACTCACTGCCATCTGGACTCACTGCCATCTGGACTCACTGCCATCTGGACTCACTGCCATCTGGACTCTGTCTCTTCCTTCCCTCTCTCTCCGCCATCCAACACTACTCCACCCTCGCTCATTCTCTGTCCTCTCTCCTTCCCGCCTTTCCTCTCCCTCCCACAGGATGCCGGGAAACATACTTTTGAGTCAACTCAAAACGCATCCTTCCTTCCACCCACCCATTGCACTCCATGCACAGAAACCTGGCAAGGAATCATCTTACAGAGGTCCCCATATCACCATTCTTCGAAATTCGGGTCAACTCTTAAAGAACAACCCTTCTTTCCTCCTCCCATCGCATGCCGTGCACAGGGACCTGTCAAATAATCAGCTAACAGGCCCCCTCCCGTCGTCCTTTGCCAACCCTACAGTTCTGGTTGAAATGTAAGGGGAAGGGGAGGAGGTGGAGAGGGGTAGGGGTGGGTGAGGTCGGGGTTAGATTGCGGGTTGATTTTTTGATTCGACTCAACATTCAGCTTACAGGCCCCCTCCTGTCATACTTTGCCAACTCTGCTGTTCTGGATGAGTTGTGAGGAGAGAGGAGGAGGCTTTTGAGGCGCCTCAAAAGTCGCTCCCATCGTACTTTGCTACCTCTGCCGTTCTGAATGAGCTGTAACAAGAGAGGAGGAGGTGGATAGGGGGTAGAGGCGAGGTTGGGTTAGGGATGTTTTGGAGTTGGATTGGCAGTGGGGTCTGGATGGGGGGAAGGGGTGAAGAAGGGGGTATTTTTCTGACTCTAAGGGGCGTATGGGAAGTGGGGAGAGGGGAGGAGGTGAGAAAGAGGCTGGAGGATTCTGGAATAGACATCTGAGACATCTTGTAATGGATGCGCTGTTGTGGATTGATTGTGGATTTGTATGTCAATGATACGTGTTGAATGATGGTTACTGAATGCATCATGCTGATATTATACATGCTATGCTATGCTGACACCACACTGATTCCATGCAAATCTTGTGTTTGTTGAGTGGCGGATGCATATCGTTTGACGTGCCGTCACGTGCGTTTTGATTTTGACTTGTTAAGATTTGCCGCCCAGCTCACAATAAATGGGTGAATGGGTGGGTGGATGGGTGGGTGGATGGGTGGATGGGTGGGTGGGTGAGTGGGTGGGTGGGTGGGTGGGTGGGTGGGTGGGTGGGTGGGTGGGTGGGTGGGTGGGTGGGTGGGTGGGTGGGTGGGTGGGTGGGTGGGTGAGTTTGTGGGTGGGTGGGTGGGTGGGTGGGTGGATGGGTTTATGGGTGGATGGGTGGGTGGTTGGGAATGATGCACGCATGCATGGATGCAGGGACCTGACTGACAACCAGCTCAGTGGCTCCATACCTGCTGAATTCAGCAAGCTTACAGAGCTTGTAATGCTGTGAGTGTCGCACCGGGAGTGTGTGTTGCAATTTGGGAGTGAGTGTTGCAACTGAAAGTGTTACAACTGGGAATGAGTGTTGTGTGCCCTGTCTGTATCACAGGCGTCATGCTTGCATGAATGCAAATTCGCTCTTCCATTCACCCGTTACACACGTTGCATCACGTGTATGTTACACACCTTGCATCACATGTGCGTTACAAACGTTGCATCACATGCGTGTTACACATGTAGCACCTCGCGTGCCACCTCTCACAGTGTTCTTATATATATCCATCACCCCACCCCACCACAGTCTCCTTCCTATTCCGGTGTGTTTCTGAAATTCTCAAGATCACCACTCTTTTCCTTCCTGCTCTCTCCCATTCTCCTCACCTCGCCATCTCCTTACCTGACATCACCCACTCTCCCATCCCCTCCTCCCCCTCGTACCCAAACCATCCTCTTTTCTTCCCCCTCCCTCCCTCCCTCCCTCCCTCCCTCCCTCCCTCCCTCCCTCCCTCCCTCCCTCCCTCCCTCCCTCCCTCCCTCCCTCCCTATCCACCCACCCACCCACCCCTTTTCCCCTTCCACTGCCTCACACCCTGCCTATTGCCTGTTCCACCCTCGCCATCCCTACCATACCATGCATGTGCTCTGCACGCCTCTCTCTCTCTGTGCCGTGCAATTTGCCATCATCAGGCGTCTGAACTATAACCAGCTCTCAGGATCCATCCCAGAGGAAGTGGCAGCCATGACCAAACTTTTAGTCCTGTAACAACCACCACCTCCTTTTGTTCCTCTTTTTGAGCCCCCTTTTGAGCCTCCGTTTGAACCTCCTTTTGAGCCCCCTTTTGAGCCCTCTTTCAAGCCCCCTTTCTTGATTACATTTTCTGAGTTGCCTCGAAAACCCTCTCAGGATCATTCCAGAAGGCATGCCTCTTGCAGTCATGGCCAACCGTAGAGTCCTGTACTGTAACAATCACCCCAGTCCCTCACTAGTTATGTTGTTCCTGCTTCTTGCCGTTCAATGCTGCCTTGCCATACGCTGGACTGGATTCCAGCCTGTTTCACACATTTACACTCTTCTCCCCCGCACCCTCCCATTCCCCCGTTCCCAGTTCGCCCATTTTCGCCCTTCACAAATTACCCAAACCATTTTTTCTGTTTCTACCTTTTAACTCTTTAGACCCCCTCTCTTCTTCGTCCACCTCCCTCCTCCTTCCTCCTCCTCACCTCCACCTTCCTTGCCGCCGTTCCCTTCTGAATTCCTCCTTTTGCTACCACATTTCCTTCCACACTCTTCCCCTACATTCCCCTGACCCCCCTCCTGACGCTCAAACCTCTTCCCCATTGTCCCCCACCTTCCCCCTCCCTTTTCTCTCTCTCCCTCCACGCCTGCCATGCCAGTCGCCTCGAGAACAACCAGTTCTCAAACTCCATTCCTGCCAAAATAAACTTGCTGCGAACTCTCACAGAACTGTAAGGCTCTGTCTCTTTCTGAGGCGTCTCAGAAGTGCGCGGGCTCTATTCCTGCTAGATTAAGCATGCTGTGGTCCCTTTCAGAATTGTACGGCTCTGTGTGGCCTGGAAGGGAGGCTCACAGCCACCATGTGTCTCTGCCTCTTCCTCTGCCTCTGCCTCTCCCTCTCCCTCTGCCTCTGCCTCTCCCTCTGCCTCTGACACTGTGTCACTACATGATTCCAGTACCCGCTGGCTGGAGGCCTTAGGCTGTTCTTGTCTGTGCTGCGTGCTGCGTGTGCGTGCTGCGTGTATTCTCAGCAAGCGACTTGCGCGCAACTTGACTGTGCTGCTGGATTGGGCCATCTCTATGTTATGTGAATGATTGAATGATTGATTTATCTATTGATTGAACGATCATGCTTCGTGGCTTTTGTTGGATCAACGGACCTGCTTCGTGGCCCTTAAGCCTGCGGAAACTGTAACTCATCTCACCTCACCTCCTTTTAGCTCTGTTGACCTCCGTTGACGTTTGTTGACTCATTCGCCCCTGTCACATCACCTCACGGCTGGAGGGCGTTCAACACTGAATTGGTGAGTGCTTGCTCCAACCGCCTTCCACCCCTTCGCACCCCTTCACATCCCTTCTGTCCACACCCATTGGCTTCCTGTCAATCTGCCCATGCCATTGCAGCCCTCCCTCCTTCCCACCGTGTCTCCCTTGTTGCATCCCCTCTGCACCCCTCTGCCGCACCCCCCTGCATCCCCTCTCAAACCAGAGACTTGAGTGGCAACTCGCTGACGGGAAGCGTGCCCGTTGAAATGAGCCTCATGACAAACCTGCAGTACCTGTGAGTCTCACTTCTGAGACATGATGGTCTCACCCTAATTCCTGAACCTAAAAAATAGTGACATGATGACATGATGACGTCAGGCTCGTGAAAGAGCCGCCTGCAAGGGCTGTGAGTTTAGGAGGTTTTTTGCCGTAGAAAGAATGTATGGTGTTAGTTCATCGGTGTGTTGGGTGTTGTTGAGATTTCTCATTTAACACCGTGTTTGTTTTCGGGTAGCATGAAGCAGCAGGGTGCTGTTGGGAATTCTAACAAACGCCCTCCACAACAAATGCTGTCCCTCTGGTCACCACAATCAACATAGTCGTCCTTCAGCGCCCAGTGCTCTGGCTGCCAGTCACTCTTGCTCTGATGTTGGAAATGAGCCTCATGACAAACCTGCAGTACCTGTGAGTCTCACTTTTGAGATATGATGGTCTCTCACCCTAGACCATAAATCTGGAAAATAGTGACATGATGACATCAGGCTCATGAAAGAGCCGCCTGCAGGAGCTGTGAGGTTTTCGCCACAGAATAAATGTATGGCGTTTGATCATTGATTGGTGGGGTGTTGTTGAGACTCCTCAGTCAACACCGTGTTTGTTCACGGGTAGCATGAAGCAGCAGGGTGTTGTGAAGAATTATAAAACACGCCCTCCACAAAGACAAGTTCTGAGTCGACTTTAAACTGGTCATCTCCTCGTGTTTATTCCGGAAATGTCCATTGCCGTGTGTGGTGATTCGAAAACCGACTTCTCCCTCCCTCCTGCCCTTCCTTCCCCTGCGCCCCGGTTTAATCCCCTTGTCAACACACCAGAAATCTCGGCAAGAACCAAATCACGGGGTCTGTTCGTGCGGAACTTGGACAATTGAATAAAATGGCGTACTTGTAAGCTTCTCTACTGCGATTCTCTATCTACTGCTCTCCTATCCTATCATCCCTACAGGCTACAGCACGCCCATAATTTATTTTGAACCGCACTCCCATCACCTCTCCGCACTACCTCGCCTCTCTCTGCATCCTCCATCAACCCCTTTCTGAGTCCCCCTGAAACCCCCACCCTTCTGTGGCTACTACGTTTTCCCTACTGCATCATCCCTGCTGAGTTATGTTGTACCATCATCACCCCCTGTGCCTGTGTGGTCAACACACCAGCGCCACTTCTCTTCCCTCCTAGTTAGGGATGAGCATCGTGTTCGCCCCTGCACGAACACAGCCGTTCGCCGAACCGAACAGTTCGGTTCGGCGAACACTTTTAGCAAAAACAGATGTCCGGTGTTCGCCTGTGAAGGCGTGTTCGGGCGAACCTCGAACATGTTTGTGTTCAACGCGGGGCAAATTGCAGCAGCGGCCCTAACACGAACGTCTTCGGGCGAACCTCGAACACGTTTGTTACGAAAACTTTAAACTAGGCGAACCGAACAGGTGTTCGTTTCTTTGCTCAACCCTACTCCTAGTCATGCCGATGTTTCGTTGGCTTCGCTGCGCATGTATATTCTCTAGTAAATCCCAGGCAGGTAGGACACTGCAAACTCGGTAGATCAGCTAACCTCGCGGAACGTGCTCTGGCCCATCTGAGTCTGCTGCGTGCACACCAAACCTGAAACTCACCCGGCGTGCACAGAAAACCTGAAACTCACCTCACCTGGCGTGCACTGCTGAGCTGACCAACACAACACAACACAACACCTGCCTTGCGCCTGTCTCCTCGTGCAGGTACCTTAACGACAACAAGCTTTCAGGAAGTGTTCCTGTTGCGTTGAAAGGATTGACTGGCCTCCAGGAGTTGTGAGTTCCTGCATGTGTGTGTGTGTGTGTGTGTGTTTGTGTGTATGTGTGTGTGTGTGTGTGTGTGTGTTTGTATGTGTATGTGTCTGTGTGTGTCTTGCACCTGCATGGACAGTGGCATTGGTAGTGACGTAAACACACGGCTCCTGTTTGGGTGAATTGAACTGGCTGAATTGATCCTTTTGAGAATTCTCGAAGTTCAGTTTACACTGATCTTTTTCTCCTTGCATACATTTACTTACTTACTCTTAACAACTGTTTAGTAAGCTCTGCCGCTCCTTGCCCTGGACAATGTTTTTTATACTCTATCGTCATTCCCCCACAGGTCACTCGCTAACAACCAGCTGGTGTCAGCCAGTGTGGACACGGTGCTTGCTGTCTTCACCTCCGTCTCTGTACTGTGCGTCCGCTCTCACTCGCTCACTCACTGCATGCTGTGCGCCCGCTCTCACTCGCGCACTCACTGCGTGCTGCATGTATGGTGACTTTTGACGCGCCTCAAAAGGCAACCAGCTGGTGTCAGCCAGTGTGGACACGGTGCTTGCTGCCTTCACCACCGTCACTTTACTGTGCGTCTGATCTCACTTGCTCACTCTCACTGCATGCTGTATGGTGACTTTTGACGCGCCTCGAAAGGCAACCAGCTGGTGTCAGGCAGTGTGGACACGGTGCTTGCTGCCTTCACCTCCGTCTCTGTACTGTGCGTCTGCTCTTGCTTGCTGTGAATCACTTTTGAGACTTCTCCGCTCTTTCTTTGCCTCTGCTCATATGTTTGCTTGCTGTGAGACTTTTGAAGCGCCTACCCTGCACCACCACCGCTACTCTTCTGTGCGTCCGCTCCTGCTTTGGTTGCTTTGGCTCCACTTACATGCTTGCTGTGTGTGTGTCAGCTCTCACTCACTCACTGCATGCAGCACACATCTCCATGGTCAAGTACGGTGTTAGAAATAGTCAGTCAACACTTTGTACTATATTCTATATCGGTTAGGTTACTTTGTAGGTTGGGTGTAGATTTGTAATCCCAACCCTATCTGGTTGGGATTCCTTCGTAATCCTGCAAATCTGCCAACTCACCACTTGGAGAGTTGCTAGGATTCCCATCCCATCCTTTCCCTAGCTTTGCTCAACCCAACCGTGTTTGTACTTAAGGCCTAGTGCCTTCCTTATCAATCAATCAGTTCAGTTCCAATTCTATCATGGTATCGAGCTAGTAAATTCCGCTCACGCGGAATCCGATCCTTGGCGTCCCGATGGTTTTCTCCTTCTAGGCTATGCCTATTTCGGTTCTCTCCTTCTAGGCTATGCCTATTCCGGTTCCCGGCTCCTACGCTTAGCGTTTTTCAGAAACTTCACATCGTCGCTCCGGTCAACCGCGCATTCAGCTTCCTTCATCGCGCATCTCGTTTTTCAACGGCGACATTTTCAGCTTTCGACTTCCTTCATCGTAAGCCTCTGGTTTCTAAATCTCCGTGGCAATTTTCGCATCTTCTTAACTCCAGAACAGGTTCAGCGGCGCAGTAGAACAGGTTCAGCGGCGCAGCAGAATAGGTCCAGCGGCGCAGCAGAACAGGTCCAGCGGCGCAGCAGAACAGGTTCAGCGGCGCAGCAGAACAGGTTCAGCGGCGCAGCAGAACAGGTTCAGCGGCGCAGCAGAACAGGTCAGCGGCGCAGCAGAACAGGTCAGCGGCGCAGCAGAGAAGCGGAACAGGGGCAGCAGCGAAGCAGAACAGGGGGCATCAGCGAAGCAGTATAGCAGGGTACATTACGGGCATTCTATTTCCAAAATCGCGTTTCGGACTTCCTCAATTTCCAAAGTCACCCGAACTCCTCTCCGCTTCGCTCCGCTACGTATCGGAGACTTTAGCGCTGCGCTCCGCGCGAAATGGCGACTTCTACTTCCACCCTCGTCGGAAACCTCATCATCCTTAACCTCGCTCCCAACGGCAAGAGCACCAACTTCGGGGAGTGGTGCTATGGAGTGGAGAAGCACCTCCTTAGCTCGGAGCTCAAGGGGATTTGCCTCAAGGACATCCTCCTCAACCGCGGCAAGGGGAAGATGCCTCTCCCTCCCGATCCTCTCGGCGAAGGCGCCACTACCACAGCCAAGAGCGCTTTCGATGCTAAGACCACCAAGTATGAGACGGACTTCAGTCTCTGGGAGCAGGCGGATGCGGCAGTGATTAGGGTTTTCATCACCACTACCCCAATTGAGTTAGTCAAGTCCTACCGCACCTTCCGCTCTGCGCATGACATTTGGAAGTACCTTCAAGATCGTTTTCATGAGAAAACTGCCGTGGGAGTTGCAATCCTCATTCCTCGCATGTTCCAAATCCGCCTTGAGGAATGCCCGGGCAGATTACATCTTTGAAATCCGCAAAATCCATGAGGAGCTCAAGGACATTGGGATCACCTTCCCCGAACAGGCACCTGCTGCTGGGCTTCTCGTCGGACTCACCCCGGCCTACAACGTCACCAGTTCCATGCTCAAGCAGCTCCCCACCAAGGAACTCACCTTCGAGAAAGTCGCTTCGGCCCTTCTCTCTGCCGAAAAGGACCTTGCAGCCCAGGCATCCGTCAATGCTGTGCGCTACTCCCCTGGCATCCCATTCCGTTCCCAGCAGGGCAGAGGCGCAACTCCTTTCCCCCATGCCAGTACCTCATTAGGAAGGGTCCACGTGCGGGGCAGATTTGCAACGGCACCAACCACCCTGAGGCAACTTGCTTCAAAAAGCGAGATGACGAGTGGTATGACGTCCATGGTGTCTCCAAGGACAAGCGCCCTCCCAATTGGGCACCACCCCGTCGCGTGAACCAGGTCGAGACAGTGGAGGAACCTGCTCAGGCATTTGCTAGCGCCCCATCTGATGTTCGCCTTAACCTGTTGTTCTCTGGTGCTGGTCTTATTAATGAGAAGGGGTCGCAGTACATCGGTGTTTCAACCACACAGGGAATTGAGTTCATACTAGACAAGGGTGCCACCCACACAGTGCTTAAAGACCAAACCGCCTTCGTTCCCTACCAGGCTCCCACCTCATTCCTTGGAGCCGATTCTAGCTTCTCCATCCAATGCCATGGGTCCTCCACAGTTTCTTGTCCAGCTTTCCCATCCGGCACAGTCACTGGCATCTGAGCCCCAACCCTCCGCTACAACCTTCTTGCACAGCGGGAAATCCAACACGCAGGCGTGATCACCATCTTTCCCAATGATGTTGACTACTGTGACATGTTTGACGCCAAAACCGGACTCCATCTTGCCCGCTTCATCCTCAACTCCAAAAAATTGTACACACTAGTTGTACCTCCCGTTCAAACATGCTCCCTCACCAACCTTCCGCTTCCATCCTTAGACTCCCCCTCATGTCACTGCCGCCTCCTCACTCACAAGACCATGCTATTTCATAACCGCCTCGGCGACATCAACTTCCGCGCACTTTCAGAGCTTGCCACCAAACAACTCCTTCATGGGCTGCCCGCCTCACTTCCACAACCCCCCTCTCTTTCTGTACCGCCTTGCCTTGACTGTGCACAGAGTAAGCTTCGGGAATAGCCCCATCCTCCCACTGAGTCCATCTCCACCGCACCTCTCGATCGCGTACACATGGACCTTCGGGGTCCAGCTCCTGTTCGTTCCCGTGGCGGAGACTTCTACTTCCTTGTCATCGTTGATGACTATTCCCGCTATGTGTCCGTTCACCTTCTCACCGCCAAGTCTGAAGCCCCAGCCATCATCATGGAATGGATCAGGCAGGCTCATTCACACTTTAAAACCAAATTCAAGTTTCTTCACTCTGACGGTGGCGGTGAATTTCGCAACAACACTCTCAAAGCTTTCTGCTCTACTGAGGGTATTCGTCAGACCTTCACTCTCCCAGACAGCCCTCAACAGAATGGTGTTGCTGAAAGCCGAAACCGCATCCTGGTGCAGATTGCTCGCTGCCTCCTCACTCATGCTTCCGCCCCTCCCTCTCTTTGGGGATACGCCATGCTCCATGCTGCCGCCCTCCACAATCTCCATCCTCATCCTCACCACACCCACACCACCCCCACAGAGCTGCGGGTCAAAAGCCGTCCGTCCGCCCTCTTCGTGTGTGGGGGTGCACGTCCTATGTCCTCCTCAACTCCCAAGCCCGTCGTGCAGCTGGCGGCAAGCTTGCTTCGAAAACAATCACGTGCGTGTACCTCGGGCACAACTCGGACTCGCTAGACTACCTCTTCCTCCATCCTGCCACCAACACACTCTATCGCAGCCGAGATGTTTTCTTCGATGAATCCCACCCATTCGACCCCTCTTCCACAGTCTCTCCTTCTCCTTCGCCTCTTTCTCTTAATTGGGCTGACTTTGACAGCCTTCCTCCTGCCACCTCTCCATCTCCTCCTCTTCCCGCTCCCTCCACAGTTTCCGACCCCCCGTCACCCGCTTCCCCATCCAGCACCACGCAGTCTCCCCCGCTCCTTCCCGCCCCCGAGCCCATTCCTCTCAAAACCTACCAACGCCGTCCTCCTGCTGCTCCTGCTCCTAATCCACCTCCTGCTTCTGATCTGGCTCTTGAACCTGACTCAGCTGCTGCTCCTGATGCTGCCATTACACCTCCTGCTTCTCCTCCTCCAGCTCCTCCTCCCTCCCCCATCGCTGGTCGCACTCGCTCGCACAAAGCTCCCAAGCCTCTTTCCCTTTCCATTCGTGTCTCTCTCAATCCTCCTCCTGTCGGGGGTGATTATTCGCTCATGCCCTCCCTTCTTGAGGACAGACATGAGGAGTTGATTGAGATTGACTCACCATTCTTCGCTCTGCTCCCTCTTTCCAGATATCGCAGAATCTCCCACCCTCAACTTCTCGGACAACCTCTCCATCCCCACACCTTTCACCTATGCTGAAGCAGTTTCTGGTCCTAACGCCGCTCAGTGGATAGGGGCCATTATCGCAGAGTGTCAGGCCTTCATTCACACAGGAACTTTCACAGATGTCTCTCCTCCCTCTGGCGTCAACATTGTGAAGGGAAAATGGGTTTTCCGGGTGAAACAACTTCCAGGCGAATTTCCTGTCTTCAAAGCCCGGTATTGTGCCAAGGGATTTACCCAAAAGCGTGGACTGGACTTCTTTGAGACATTTTCTCCCACTACCAAACCTCCCACACTGCGCACCCTTCTCGATGTGGCCGCTCGAGATGACATGGAGGTTGACTGCATAGATGTGTCTTCTGCGTTTCTGCAAAGGATCCTTCGAGAGGAAATCTACATGGAGCGGCCCGAAGGATTTCCAGCTCCTTTTCCACCAGGCACTGTATGGAAGCTGAATTGACCAGTCTATGGCCTCAAGCAAGCACCCGGGGAATGGCACAAGCTCAAGAGCACCTTAGGGTCCCTCGACTTTCACCCATCCACCTCTAACCCCAGCCTCTT